CAATCTAAGAACCATTTAAGTTTAATACCGCAAGCTAAAGCTAGCATAAGTCACCACGTTTTAGTTTAATACTTCAATCTAAGAACCATTTAAGTTTAATACCGCAAGCTAAAGCTAGCATAAGTCACCACGTTTTAGTTTAATACTTCAATCTAAGAACCATTTAAGTTTAATACCGCAAGCTAAAGCTAGCATAAGTCACCACGTTTTAGTTTAATACTTCAATCTAATGACCATTTAAGTTTAATACCGCAAGCCAAAGCTAGCATAAGTGACCACGTTTTAGTTTAATACGTCAATCTAAGGACCATTTAAGTTTAATACCGCATGCTAAAGCTAGAAATATCGAATTATTTAGAGAGTTAACAAATTCTTTAACTCGATCACTTATAATTTTTTGTGGTGCACCAAACTGGAAGAATATTCTGCACAGACACTGAAATGTACTCGATGCTGTTTTGTCTTTAATAGGAAAAGCGAACCAAGGCTGAACTAAAGAAATTGAGAGTTGTAGACCTTAAAGATGCACTTCGCGAATTGGGGTTACCCGTTTCAGGTATGCCATAATTATATTGTAACATAATTAACATCAACAATATGTGTAGAACACCTAATTATTCGTATAGTTGCTGTTGAAATCGCACTCTTGTTGTTGTCGCACTTTCTTGTCATTTTGCCGGCTACTTTATGACAATTAAATTATGTGTTCACGAAACATTGAATGTTTGTGTAGTTCTTGTATTCGCGCGCATTTACTTTAGTATATGAAATTATCATTCACGAGTTGAACTGCCCACGTAAATTATAGTGATTGGTTCCGTCAACGAAAGTAAATTACCGTGAAGTATGAGATTTGTTTCGAATAGAGTAAATAATACATTATTAATTACAAAATTTAAAAAAAAATTGGTCCAATCTTTGAAACGTTTTTACTACGTTTATATCAGAGCGTAATACAAATCCTAATGTGTGGATACATTTGATTGACATAGTAATTTCTCTTCTAGGGTTGAAGGCAGATTTGGTCACCAGATTACATGCTAATTGCTATCAAGAACAGGTGAGTTATGAGAACAGACCACTATTAAATCCTCTATAGGATCCTATACTTAAGAATTGAATTTCAGGAGATGAAAAATAGTATTTCGACCGTTTTCGACCGAGTGGCAATATTAAAGCTAGGTAGCCATGTACTTCAGCTGTGCACTATGAGAGTTATGACATATGTTGTCCAGCATTTTAAAAAAATATTGCGAATTGACTAACTGACACCACATTTGTGCCTGAAAAACAGTCGAGCAGTCGAATGGGGGCCATACATTGAAAGAACTCGTTTTAAATTACCAGTAACCATCCACCCATCTCCATGTGCATGTCATTGCCACACACGATAGCCAGCTTAAATAATGCAACAACAAAACATCGCGTCAGCTTTAGTGCACGAGCTGCGGGCACTCCGATTGGTCGGCCGATGACGCGTCACATCCTTTAACCTAACAGGGTAATGAACCAGTAGTGATTTAATAGTGGTCACGTGACTGTATAGAAACTTTTTTTTCTCGGGATCTGTCAAACGCAATAAAATACGTTCCGACAAACACCGCTGCACACGGGTGCAAAACGTTGGTTCAATTCGCTGTTCGGTTTTTGAGTTTTATTCAAACATGACCTCTCCTTTATTTGATATATAAATGGCTATAACTTTTTTTATTTTCAATAAAATTCCGCCAAACTTTCAGCGATTACTAACCTCAGCGACTTGGACATGGCTAGACCATAATATTCCACTAAAATGATCACGTGACATATCTGGCACGAAATCGAGGCTCTGACATTATTAGACCGACATTTTGACTTACAGTTCAAGCAGGTGTGTTCTTGTTGAAAATATGGATGCTATGGCAGAAGATGATTAATCCCGGCGGTTTTGCTTAGTATGTCAAGTGCAGATGGCTCGAGGTGACCTCAGCATGTCGGAACGCATCCAGAAAGGCAATGTCAATCTGTGGTCTCCCATGAAGAAACGCAAGCTTCTAACGTGGAAGACTACTCTAAAGAAGACCAGGGTTGCCGTGAAGAACAAGGTAGTTGAGTTAGAAGAGGAGAGAAGTCTGTTTGCCCGGATGATGGTGGTGTGCCAGTCACGGCCGGAAATCAACATACAAGAAGCAATTGGCAAGTACGAGTTTTCTGTGGTTCCGAGGTCCCTCTTTGCTGCTGATGGTGTGATGCTACATTGTCTAAACAAGAGTACGCTGATGAGCTTGGTTGAGAAGGAGGCGCCACCTGTCTCTTCCACTGATGAGACTGATGAGGCAAGACTCCCGGTGCATCGAAAGAAGGCAGTCATTGTGGATGGAATGGCGGAGCTGCAATCGCAACACTGAATCCACACAACTAAACACGCGTTAACTATATAACGCCTGTCATACCGTAGTTGGCTACCCCTAGGGCCACTACACTACATACCCTACATACTACTGTAAGCTACCGCCACCTAGTGCCAAACAAGCCTACTATAAAGTTAACATGTGTAACAGTTAACATGTGTGACAGATCCTATCTTATCGTTTTCTCCAAAGATGGCTAGATAGGCTCATATAAATTGAATAGAATACAATTTCATTCGTAGAATATTATCACTTAGTAACATCAATTATTCAAAAATTACCTCTCCTTTATACAAGTCGTCTTTGAAAACGGGAGGTTTGCTACACAGTATAGTGTGTATAGGCTACTGTGTGTGTGTATATAGTGTGTATATCGTGTGTTGGCTCCAAGAAACGGTATTGCTAGGGTTAGAATACCCCTAGCAATGTATATTGACGTTAGTCACACAGCCTGGTCGTGGTACATGGTTATGGAGCAAACGATGGCGCAAATACACTTTCCTACCGGACTATATGGCAGCATCCGACTCCGAACCCTCTACCGCGCCCGCCTGTCTGTACTGGGCGCATTTCATATAGGTGTTAACCCCTCCCCCGCTAAGGTATACCAGCTGAAATAAATTTGTAACAGTGCACGGTAGTTGCCACAAATGTCCCGGGTTGTAGGTGTACACTACTGCCCATGCAGCAACCACTCATACTGCTACGATTAATGAAAACATGACTCGCTCATACAAAGAGCAAAACTACACAACTCCAGTTTAGGTAAATATAGTATATGGAAGTATGACATAAGTGACCACGTTTTAGTTTAATACTTCAATCTAAGGACCATTTAAGTTTAATACCGCAAGCTAAAGCTAGAAACATCGAATTATTTAGAGAGTTAACAAATTCTTTAACTCGATCACTTATAATTTTTTGTGGTGCATCTATCTGGAAGAATATTCTGCACAGACACTGAAATGTACTCGATGCTCTTTTGTTTTTAATAGGAAAAGCAAACCAAGGGTGAACTAAAGAAATTGAGAGTTGTAGACCTTAAAGATTCACTTCGCGAATCGGGGTTACCCGTTTCAGGTATGCCATAATTATATTGTAACATAATTAACATCAACAATATGTGTAGAACACCCAATTATTCGTATAGTTGCTGTTGAAATCGCACTTTTGTTGTTGTCGCACTTTCTTGTCATTTTGCCGGCTACTTTATGACAATTAAATTATGTGTTCACGAAACATTGAATGTTTGTGTAGTTCTTGTATTCGCGCGCATTTACTTTAGTATATGAAATTAATATTCACGAGTTGAACTGCCCACGTAAATTATAGTGATTGGTTCCGTCAACGAAAGTAAATTACCGTGAAGCATGAGATTTGTTTCGAATAGAGTAAATAATACATTATTAATTACAAAATT